CATTGAACAGCGTTATTAAGGTACACTGTACGATTTCAAGTTTTGTAGTGTCTTTATTTTATTAAGTAAATATCTTTTTCTTTCATGGCATATAATCCTTCGAAACATTCATTTACCTTACACAGTTTTTCAGATTCTTAGGTAAATACATACTTTTAGGTTACTTTTAACTGGTCGAATGAAAAATTTGTCTATATTACATAGATACATTTAAAAATAATTTAATTTAACTTGCGGATATGTACATAGAAGATATATTAATTTGTCAAGTCACTATTATGTTAGGATGTGCTATAAGAAAATGTTTTCAACCTATTAAAATGAGAAAGTGATATGACACTCTTCTGTCATTTAAGAACTGTGATTAAGAAATTTGTATAATTTGTTAATTTCATATATTTATCTTTATTTATGTTATATATGTTAATCGGTTTACTAATCTTCTTAGACAATATGGATGCATTTGGCGACAACTTTGTTAATGGGCAGGAAGTAGATCCAGTGGCAGAATTTGTAGCAAGAGAACAAGATCAACTAGCAGGACTAGAAAATGATATTCCACCTGTCTCTATCTCAAGTCCTCCAATGGCTCCTAATACAGATGGTATCTAAAATTTGATCAAAAATTTAATTGATTTGTCAGCAAAATATATGCAGATTGACAGCAGATGCTGACACAGATCTGTTTCCAAATCATAGTACTTTATGGAGCAGATCTGTAGTCATTCTGGTAAAAAAACCTGTAAACAAGCTAACTTGGCTAACAAACTGAAATTCCAAACCATAATTGGTTTACAATTGTTTTGTAAATTACAGTTGGTCCAGGTGGAGATGCTGAAGGTAGTTTTGAAATAATAGATGCGCAACCTTCCGAAACACAACTACCCCCAGCGACAGGTACTTATTTTTCAAAACTCTTCAATGTGGAACGTGATTTTAGAAAATGGATTATTCGCAGAAACGCCTAAACCTTCGCCAGTGAAAGAGGAGCCGGAGAAAATACGGAAATGGAGAGAAGAACAGAAAGCTAGATTAGAGGAAAAAGGTTCCATTGAATTTTTCATTAGAATCACTTTCACTAAGCTTTGATTAATTTGATCAACTATCAATTGTATATCACGTGTTAAATTGTATTACGTACCATATCGAGTGAACTTTTGCATTGACCTAATATTAATTGCTAATACTTCATATTTCTTACGTTATAATTTGTGTAAATAAAATTTTCTTTAGACGCCGAGGAAGAGACAAAGAAGGAAGAATGGAGAGAAGCTGCGAAGAAGGAGCTAGAAGAATGGTATAAGCATCACGCGGAAGCTATTAGTAAAACAAAAACTACGAACAGGTAACATTTTGAATTACTGTGTCTGATATAAGAATAATTCTTTTGAGATCAACTTTGAAACATAAGTTTTAATCGCGCAGTCTCGTAAACGCAATTACAAGTGTTATATCGTATAAAATGATAAGATAATTTTAGACGTGTACTACATACAATTATATTATTTTCATTCTGCTTCTTAGGGAATCGGCCAAGTAAGTTACACCACTTTTTTTGCATGTATAATTGCATTGCATAGCTATATATTCATTGCTTGCTTATATTCAGGCAGAAATGCAGAATGGTATCAAAAGAATTGGTACATATTAGTTGCTTTTTAGTAACAATCCATACGTGTCTTTCTCCACGCTTGATGCAATTATACTGGAGGTTCTGGCGTTTCTAATCACGTATCAAGCCTCGTATATTTTAGAGTGACAAAATAAACACCGAATCGTATTTAGTATGAAACAATTTGACAATTCGTATGAAAATTATGAGTACGGTAGAAGTTCTTTTAATCTCCATAATTATGTGTTTAACGTCTGTAATTAAATAATTAATACTCGATCCTTTTGAGTCCTCACGTATTTATTTATCAGACCAGTTTTATAAAGACACGTTAAAAAAATATAATTATTTTCTTATGATAGAGAACAAAACTAGTATTACAGTCTTTATATATTCAAATAAATTACAGTCTCTTGAAAAACGTATACCGAATCCTATCGCTTAAAGAAAGTTGTTCACGTCGCATCGCTACGTACGTTCAACGATTTTCCACTCGTTGAACGCACACCGCAATGTCACTAGTGCATTATTACTTGTACAAGTATCGTCGCACTTTTTCGAAATGACTCGCACGCGTCGCAGCTTGTGTAATTAAAACGTGTTTATCTGTAGGAACGCGGAAAAGCAATTTGTAGCGGAAGCCGACGAGGTGGAGCCAGGTACCGAGTGGGAGCGCATCGCCAAACTTTGCGATTTCAATCCGAAATCGTCCAGGACATCGAAAGACGTCTCGCGGATGCGCTCGATCATATTGCAGTTGAAGCAAACTCCACCGGCTCCGGTCACTCTTTGATCAGATTAACAAATAATTTCGATTGGGATATAAATACATACATATATATATATATCTACTATCGCATGTATTACATAAAAAAAGAAACAAAAAGGAGAAAGAAACAAACTAAATATCATGGGATGAAAAAGATCGTATGAGATCTCTTGAATGAAAATGTTATTGCAAATAAAATTGGTTAATAGCACGTGTATGCATAAATATTAAAATGTGTAATATAGATATTAATGTTGAAGATAAAAAATAAACGATAGCTTTACCCTTACGTGTATCAGTTTAAATAACAATCGGTAGTTTATAAAATTCTCATAAATTATTTTAATTTATGTATATATATATATAAAATTTTCTGAAAATATATATATAT